CAGTTTGCTGGGGCCAGGGACGAGCGCGCGCACACACACACGCACACGCGTACACAGACACACACACACGCACGCGCGCACACAGACACACACACGCACACACATACACACACACGGAGTGCTCAAGAGCTACTGCTGAAGTCGGGAGCTGCTTGCTTGGCTGCTGCTGTCGCCGTCGCCTTCACCAAGCCGGGATCTATCCATTCTCGACATACATTTTAAAAACCTCAGCCTGATTCTCGGTCTTCGTCTTCTTCTTGCAATCGCTCTGTCGCGAGTTGTTTGTTTTTCTGCCTTCCTCTTCCCCACTTTCAAAAATCCCAAGCTTGGATATTACTTAGGCTTTGGAGAGGTTGGGATATATATATATTTCATTTTTTAAAAAATCTGGGCATCCTTTTCGCCTCTCTTCTCACTTCTGCTCCCTGCGCTCCACCTTCCCTCCTCTTCCATCTCGGTGGCTTTCCTTAGCCAAAAAAATCCGGGCTGATGTGCTGCACGCGAGGTTGGAAATGGAAGTATTGAGGCTTTGGTTTCTTCCTTGGATATTTCAGTGCGTTTCTGTGCGAGCCGACTCCATCATCCACATTGGTAAGAGAGGGGAGCTCGTGGATATGTGTGTGTGTGTGTTTGCGCGCGAACGGGCTGGGGGGGGCTGCTGAAGGGTAGAAATGGCAAATAATCGATTAAAAGAAGAGTGCGAGGAGGATCGTGTCTCATTAAGGCGAAATAATCATCCTGATAGCAGCAGGGAAGATGGAGAGAACGTGAGCGAGATGAACTCCAGAGAGGGAAAGAGAGGATGGAGAGAGAGAGAGAGATGCAGGCGCCACCCCCAAAGGAAAAGCCATCTGAATGAGTCTCCTTGCAAAGTTAGGAACGAAATAAGGGTGCAAATCATTCAAACTGAATGGTGGAAGGGAGGGGGACTCTCCTCCCTGGGGGTGGTAGTAAAGATTTGCCGTTGGAGTCGCTTCTTTAGCCCAGCCACCCCTTGCCTCAGCCCTGTTTGCGCGCTGATCGCCCTCGGCTTCTCTTCTAATGTACAGGGGCGCCGCCGCCCCCTAACCCCCCCCCCAGAAAACAGCCTCCTACGGCAAAACTTTGGAGAGGAACCATCTCCTCTCCCCGCCCGAGCAGGTGAGGTGGTTCTCAGGCAGGACTGGCCGAGGACCAGACGCCACCTTCGCAAGTGAAGGCGGTGGGAGGGCGATGGAGAGGTGGAGGTGACCAAGGCGCACCTGGGGGGGGGGTGACCTGATCTGTCACTGGGCCGAGTAAGGCTTAGCGGCGGTGGACTTTTTGCGAGGGTTGGGAGCGAGCCTCAAACTAGGAGAAGGCTGGGCTGGCAGAAGGGGAAGCCCGAAAAGTGCCAGGGGAAATGCCCGGGGCCCCGGTGGCTTCCGTAGAGGGGAAACTTGAGAGATGCGGCTGACGCAAGGGAGAAAGAAGTCTGGCCACCTTTTGCAAAAAGACATCGTTGAAATCCAGCAGAAGGCCGGTCTCTGGGGCAGCTTTTCCCAAGGCGATCGGCAGGCAGGAGAAAGGTGTTGTGCGGGAAGCAAGCTCGCTCTCTCTCTGTCGTCTCTGTGTCACTCAAGATTAAAAAAAAAAAATACTTCAGCGAAACATCCAGAGAGTGGCAAGCAGGGAGCTCGGATGCCCAGGAGTGTCGGGCAAGGGCGAGACCGAAGCCCCCTCGCGAGAGGAAATGCGGGGAGGCCAAGCAGCAAAGAGGTGGGACCGAGAGACGCTGGAGGGGGAAATCCAGCCCCGCGGCCTTCGCTGCCCGGCCTGGCCGCGGGCGACCGGGTTGACAGACGAGCGCTCTCAAGTTGAAGGGAAGAGGCAAGGTGTCTCCCTCTCGCCCGCCCGATCCCTCCCTCCCTCCCCGCGTGGAAGAGAGGAGAGGAGAGAAGGGAGCAGCGGGGAGGGGAGGGGAGAAGGCACATGGCCGGACTGGACTGTGGGGTGGCGCTGGGGGTTGGGAGTGTCAAAAACTCCTAAATCTTCCACCAACATCACCCTTAAGTCAGCAGGAGGCCAAACAGCATTGCAGATCTCTTTAAAAAAACACACACACACACACATACACACACACACAAAACGATATGGAGGGAAGGATCGGTCTCAGAGAGCTGGGCTTGGTCAGTTCAGGGATCCCTCCACGAGGTACCCCAGAAATTAATCACTGAGGATGGGAGGGGGGGCGAAGCGTGGGCTAAAACTTTCCTTCCGCTCCCCTGCGAACTGTGAATGAACTCCAGATTTCGGATTTGAGACAGGCCGGCTTAGCGGAAAAGGCGGTGGGGCGTGCGGGAGTCTGCTGGAAATGAAACCATCCAGTCCTCCCCCGCCGCCTAAACCTTTCCCTTGGACCAAAGGCGCGCCCCCCCTGCCTTCTCGGATCAAGGGCCGCCGCTGCCAGGGACCCTCGAGATAAAGGGCGTCGCGCCGGGTGGATCTCCACCTGCCACCATGATGCGTAACCTCCATGTTCTGAGGTGCCGCTGGAAATTATGGCTCCCTTCGCTCGGTTGGCGAGGGGAGAAAAAAGACAAGAGAGAAAGAAAGAAGAGAGAGAGAGAGAGGCTGTCAACTTAGATTTAGAATTTTGTTCACGAATTCAGCATCTGGATGGCCTTTAAACGTACAGTATTGGCGAGACGTGAATAGTAATAAATGTAGAGGAAGCCGGTGAGATGGGATGATGACACCTGTTTTTTCCCCCCAGAAAAGCGAAAAGTCCTACTAACACACAAGAAAGAGTAAAAAGAAAGGCAGCCTACCTCACCCCCACCCCCTCCACGCTCAACACAAAACGGGTATATTATGTAAGGCTTATCGCCAGATGTTTTCATGCTAGCTGCATAAACAAGGCACTGAAATTAGAAGCTTTCAGGTTACTGAACAAAAGCTCAGCTCTCCATTAGTGTGTGCTGATGCGCAGGAGGGAAGCAACAACCCACCATGAGAAGGGGGGGGAGGTGCCCAGTTGGACCTAGAGTGTGTGTGTGCATATGTCTGGGGTGTGTGTGTCTCTTTTGCCAACAATGAAACTTTTGGAAACATTTCATTTCCCCCTTTTATAAAAAAAGAGATTTCTTTTTTTTTTACAACTCGCGGAAATAGAATCTCAAGGACTGGGTGGAATTCCAAAGTTTACACCCCACCTCTCCGTCCTGCTCCAAAATATTGCGACCAATTCATGGCAGGCTCCTATGTTCCTCTTTCAGCCCAAGAGTCATTGGTCATCATGCAGGATTGTCACCAGGGCAAGTGTCTGGGGAGGGATGACCCCTCCCTGGGATAGAAGGGCCTTTGAACACAGCAACGTGGAAAGAGTCGACCTCGGAGCCTTTAGCCTGCTGGTTGGTTCATTCAGGCCACCAGTTAAGCAGGTGGGAAGTTCTCATGCACAGTCATGGTGTTATTTAGGCTTTCTTTGGTGAGGCCCAATAAATGCTTTCTCTCCCCCCACCATCTCTTAAAAACAGCGGGTAGCAAGACTACTCAGGGTACCTCAGGGCTCAAGGATAATGTGCTTAGGATTTCTTACAGTAAAAGTTTGTAACAGTTTATCACTTATTTGTGTGTTATATCTATATCCCACCTTATGCTAGGCACCTGGCTCTCGTCCTTCTGACTTGATCGTTACAACAGCCCTGCAGGGTAGGTCAAGTGGAGTGTGTTCCCTCCCTCCTCAGGATTAAAGTGCCTGGCCTTGAGGTCAACTAGTGAAGTTCTCAGAGGGTGGATTTGAATGAAGGGGTTTTCGAGTCCTAGACTAGCACAACCCTGACACGATTCTGGCTCTACAATTAAGCCATAATTATTATTAGCCACGGGCAGGGGCTGAGCATGAGCTTTACATGTAGAGACTTCCCGGCTCAAGCCCTAAGTACAGTATCATCAGACAGGGTTAGGAGTGGATTCTGTCTGAAATTCTGAAGAACCGGGGCCAGTCAGTAGGCAATATGGACCAGTGGCCTGACTAAAAGGAAGGCCTATGCCTGTATATTTGTACATTTCTGTAAATACACGTGTCTTGAAGAAGAAGAGCGTGTGTGTGTTTTTCTTTCATCAGAACTCTGCAAATCACCAGCAAGAACCTGACAGAACCGGCTTAAGGGACTTCCTTGTTTTCACCCTCTTTGGAGGTGAGCGTGTGGGTGGGAGCGTGTCAGTAGCTGAGGCAAAAGAGGGAAGGTGTCAGAACTAATTCAGGTCCGAGTGTCCGTGCATGTGTAGAACGTGTGAATGCGACATGACAAGCGGTCAACTATCCGTCCCTTAAGGAGAAGTTAAGGGAGTCTTAAGGGCGAGGAAAGTTTAAGGGCGGGAAGCAGAAAGAAACATCTCCCCCCCAGCATTCCTCGCTGCCCCTGCGAGATCTTCTTCGCTTTGCCCTTCGGCAAAGATGATGGTGGTCGATTCCTCCTTTCCTCCCTCCAACAGGTGCCATCTTCGAAGGCAACGCGGCCAAGGACGACGAGATCTTCAAGCAGGCGGTGGCGGACCTGAGCCTCAACGATGACATTCTGCAGAGCGAGAAGATCACTTACACCATCAAACTCATAGAAGCCAACAACCCCTTCCACGCGGTCCAGGAAGGTAAGCGCTCCTCCTCGCCAGTAGCACGCCCGTCGGGCCCGGCCAGCCAGCAGAGAAGGGCTGAGCCGCGGGCGGGGGAAGGCGAGGTGGGCCGGCTTCGGCTCGGGGGATCCTCCTGGGCCCTTCATGGTTGGCCTCTGAAAAGCCGAGATCGGGTGAAACGGTGCACCCGGGCTAGTGGTTCCTGGGCCCTTCGTGGTTGTCCTCTGAAATGCCGAGATCGGGTGAAACGGTGCACCCAGGCTAGTGGTTGTCCTGCGAGTGTGACCCAAGAAAACAGGAGCTGGGCGGGGGGGGGAAGAGAGAGGCGAGATTTTTTTGGCGGGATCTCCGCCGCTTTCCCCGGCAGTGCCTTGCCTGGTGACTTGGTTGGGTCTTGGCTTTCCCAGGACGAGCAAGCGGCTCGAGGTCTTTTTACCAGCAAACGCCGCCTCTCCTCCGGCCCCCAGACACCACGCCCCCCCCCGGCGAGGCTTCAGGTCGGCCCGGCTTTTCCCTCTTTTTTCCTGCCCTCCCTCCGCCTTCCCCCCCCCTCTTTTTTTCCCTCCTTTTCTGCGGCTCGAGCGCGCGGCTCGGCCGGGCTGACGGGTTCCCTTTCGGCCAAAGGTGGGCGCTGTTTCCCAAGGAAAGCGAGGCGGCGCGCCAGAGACGGCGGGCGAGTGGAAGCGGTGCTTTCGGAGGCGGCGAGGGGTTTGGGGTTGAGGTGGCTTTGCTTTCCCGCGCTCCCCTGACGGCCGGGCGTCGGGGAGCCGTCGAGGAACAGAGGCTTTTTAAACGGATGTGGGAGACGGGCGAGACCGAGATGCCTAAAGACCTTTTACGAGGCTGTGTAGCAGTTTTGCCGCCCTTGCAAAAGCCTTATAGCCCGAACCTTCGGTGTGTTTCCTCCGGATCCATACCCCAGTCCGTCTCAAGCCCGTTTGCATTTGCAGTCTGCTTCGGGATGGAAAAGAGGGGCACAAAACAAAAGGGGGAAATGCACAAATCAGTGGGGAGAAAATGTTGCAGCAAAGTAACGCGCCCACTTTGGATTCAAAAGAAATAACCTTTGAATAATCAGAGGGTAGCTGAGCTGCCTACAGAGGGCAACAAGTGGACTTATTTTTTATTTTTTTGCTCCAGGCCTGGTGGAGTTTTCCCGGTCGTTCAGCATATGGAGTTGCCCTCCAGTCCTGATCCTTCTCCCACCCCACATGAGGTTTTCTTCAGAGTAAATGTGCAATAGTCTTGCCCGCTGAAGACGATGCATTTTGGTGTTCCCAGGGATTGGTGGCTTCTTGATAGCTTTTGAAGATGAGAAACTGTGTAGAGCCAGTTAAAGAAGTGCTGAATGTTATACAGAGAGAAGCGATATTTGGAGCGATGGGAGCTGGGTGGGTGGTGTAATTTCTTGCCTTTGAAGGTGTAATCCAGCATTAATTAACCCTCAAATTGCTGCAAGGTTCTCTGCCCTGTTAGTGGGCTCGTAATTGTTTTCCACTACCCACTGTTTGCATCTGACAGGTGGCATGAGAAAGATGTTGCTTCTACTCTCCCTCTTTTTGCGATGTCTCTCTGCTTTCCCGTTTTACTGGGCTTTACTTGCGGAGAATCTGTTTTTTACAGGAGGGAAGAGAGAATGGAGGCTTGCCTGGATGTGTCATGAGCGTATTGATAGCCTGAGTTGTTGCTGGTGGAAAATATTCTTTAAAAAAAAACAACATCTCTATGTTGGCAGCAGGCAGGGAGGGGGAGATGGAAACTGCCAATTTTAACTTCGTGACCTGAATGTTTTCCCTGGTCGCTATCCTGCTTGGTGGCACCTGCCAATCTGTCTTTGTGCTGGCCAGGGGAAAGGGGACCCAAAGGAAAATATTAATTGGGTAAACACAGAGAAGAGCTTTTCATCCATGAATCTGTGTTCTGCCCATCAGGGTATATATTTTTAAAGGCTTGTTGGAACATATATGATGTATTTCATATGATTAGGAGATTCAAGTACGAATAATCAATTATTGACAGAGATTGATAAAAGGAAAGAACGTAGTTTTGCAAAGATGGTTGTATGTATGACATAGCGCGCTCATACTGTACGTGTATGTATATAGAAGGAGGGACAAACACATGACTTAGATTTTTCTCGATCGTGACGTGAGATTAAAAAGGTGTTAGATTGGAACATAGAAACTGATGAAGGCATCATTCTGTCGAAGCTGCAAATGAAGCAACAACACACAATAACCTACAGTAGTACCGAAAGGAGGATGAAGAAGCTTATATAATCACAGTAGACTTGTCAGCTCTTCTGCCTGCTCTTGTTCCCATAACAGCATTGTGATCCAGAGAATAGAAGATAATACTTGTCTCCATGATATGAAAACCTTCACCTGACAGTTTCTGAAGACCAAGTGCTGTTAAAAGGCACAAGAACAGGTGCAGGTAACTCTAGGAGATGAGCAAACTGTTAAAATGTGAATCTTCATCAGAATAGTAATAGTAAATAATATTCACACAAAGGGACTCCATAATTTTGTGCACACCCTGTAGGCTTAAAAATGGGCTAGATTGGCTAGCTGCACTCAAGTTTGTGATTTGACAGAAAGCGGTGTAGATAAATGACTTTGAATTAGTTTTTTTTGTGACAGAAACAGTGAATTAATTGGCTTGCTTCTTCAAATGAAAGACTTCTAAGAGATATTATGGGGGATGGTTGATGAAGAAATCAAGATTGATTATCACAGGCCTTGCTTGTCGCGAGGTATCTGTGCAGCACTTATTCCAGAGAAAGAAAGACTTTCATAAGTCTCGGCAATAATACTGTTATTTCCTCCTTAGAATGATTCATCAACAAGGCTATTTCTTGCCATGCGTTGGAAAGAGAATTTTTTCCTTGTGTTGAAACGTACTTGAAGTCTGGATTCTTGCTGAATCAGTACAACTGCCCAGAAGTGTCCCTTTTATAAAAATGAAGTGGTTTTGCACTTTCCCTCCCACACTTACCTCTATTAAAACAGCATTAATTAGAGCTTCTTATGTTTAAACTTTTAGTTCACTCACGCTTTATGCTGTTTGAAAATCTAGACACAGCTGTAAAAGAGGTAGCCTACCATTTCACATGCAATCCTAAGCAGTGGGGGACATAATTTTGTTTAAAGGGTAATCACTGTTCTCGGCTATAGCCACTTGAAAAGACCTTGGGAAACTGTATGGTAAGGTCTTGCAACTGTATGGTATGGTCTTGCAACACAGTATGGTGTAGGTTTACTTGGAAGTAAGGCACACATTGGCTGAAATCCTATTCTTTAGCATTAAAGATCACACTAGAGTAGGCCCATTTGAATCAATGGAATGTATGGCACTGACTCAGCAAATTTCTACAGACTAAGCAACAGAACTTCAGCCTCTGTGTTTATGGGTACTCATTGCCATTAAAATGCTGTTGCTTAGCATAGTAAGTCATCTTCCTTCTGAGTAAACATGTGCACACCACACTGTGAATGTATTAATGCAAGACTGTAAGGAATGCAGATGGAAGAGTGTCTTGGGTGTGCGCACGTGCTGTAGCTTCCATTATGTTCCTGCACCTGAGGAAAGGTAGCTAAAAATAGCAGAGATGAATTTGGGAAAAATTCTGGTCGACTGTCAGACCTCTGTACACCTAAAAAGGCTTGATGGCCTATGGTAGAGTTGATTCTTTATCAAAGTAATGGCAGCTGGCTAGCTGAAATAATATCTCCTCTTACAGTAGATTTGCCCCCCCCCAATGCTTTCATCTGGATTTAGAATAATGTTTCGGTGTTATTTTGACACATTTAGAACACACAGATTCCTGTTTTCTTTTTTCCTGTGTTAATACGTACGTAATATAAAATACTTAATTATAGGACTACAGTTTAATATCTAAGAGAAGAACTATTGCCAAGATAATAGACAAGGCATAGCCTGGAAAGCCCAGTAAAAAGATTCAGGCCACATTTTAATCTGTTTTCCTACAGCTCATTAGGCATTGCAAAATTTTCTGCAAAGCCCTAATAAATGTTGTTTTAAACTGCCCGCTCATGGGTAGCAGACTTCTAAAATTACAATCTCTTCCCTGAGCAGAACTGTATAGGTTGGAGGGCAGATGGAATGGTGAATAAATATTGCAGTTCCGCCACTGACTTGCTTCATTTGGGTAATTTAATATGTTTTCATGGAGTCAGCCTCCTTTTCTTTCCCGGGCAAGACTGGAGGTTACAAAGGGATAATCTATTCAGCCAGTGGGTGAGCTAAGAAGAGAGCAGGCCTTTATCTCAAGTTCACATCTTTATTTATTTATTTATTTATTTATTTATTTATTTATTTATTTATTTATTTATTTGCTTGCTTGCTTGCTTGCTTGCTTACTTACTTACTTACTTACTTACTTACTTATTACTCTATAGTATATTTTGGGGCCATATTCTACTCTCTTGTTCTTACCGTTCATTATCTCTTGCCACCCGGCCATGCTCATTCCCCCTCCTTGCAACTTTGCTAAGAGCTGTCAATAAGGAAAGAGGGATGAAGTGATTTAGCTGACTGCCTAGAGAAGATAGGGCTACAACTATTTTAATAAAACTCTAAGTTGGCTTGCTTGCTTGCTTGGTTACTTACTTACTTACTTACTTACTTACTTATTACTCTATAGTATATTTTGGGGCCATATTCTACTCTCTTGTTCTTACCGTTCATTATCTCTTGCCACCCGGCCATGCTCATTCCCCCTCCTTGCAACTTTGCTAAGAGCTGTCAATAAGGAAAGAGGGATGAAGTGATTTAGCTGACTGCCTAGAGAAGATAGGGCTACAACTATTTTAATAAAACTCTAAGTTGCACTCCCCCATCCTGCTGGACATTCAGTGCTTTCTAAGTGGTGCATGACAGCTTGGCCTTGTAGATACCAGTGTAATTGCAGAAATATTTTATGGGTTATTGTGCTAACAGCTGCCTTCTTCAGTTGGAGTTAACGCCCAATTCATGAGTTACCCAAGTAGGACAGA